TCAACGCAGTGTTGGTGGAAGAGATCCTTTGCCATAATTTCTTATCTCTATTACGACGGATATCCAAGATACTGTGCTGCTTTAAGCAGTAACCCAGCTTATAACACCTGGCAAAGAGCTTATCAATTCTACTTAAATATTTACTATAAAAAGCACACCCCCAGACCTCAATAGCATATGTAAAAACTGAAAGAATCAAACTTTGAAAAAGTAAGTCCAAATTCTCAATAGAGTAGCCATGATATTTACATATTCTTAAAATATACAACCTACTGCTAGCCTTACTAAGTAGATAATCAATATGAGTGTCCCAATTAACTGGCACTTGCTCAAAGGTAACACCCAATAGTTTCAGTTTTTCTTTCCTGTTCTTGACATAGATACAACCAACCACTTACACTTGAGTGCGAGGATCTTCCCATTGAGTAGCTCTTGTATTATGGTTGACAAAATAAACTCGTCCATTGGGTTCCACTCTTTTCTCTGTGATTGAAGATAAACTGTTTAGTTGAGAATCACAGATGTAGGTACCCAAGTTAATGATGAAGAAACAACAACCTAAACTTACCCCAGCCAGCTGGGAGGGGTCCAAGAGGATCTGCTTCAGGTACACAGGTTGTCTATAAGATACAAGTGAAAGAAATTTTGTAAACTTTAAGGTGAAAATGTTTATTACTTCTGTACAAAGAAATATGCTATATTACAAGCTAAAAAACTAGGCCTTTCTTAATTTAGGAAAAGGAACAGTTGTATGTTATAACATGTAACTTGTTTTCCCCTTGGAAATCAGAAAAAAACAAAACAAAAAAAAAAAAACAAGCACACATGGAATACATGTTTCATGCAATAAAGATAAACTGAGTTCTGGACATTCCACTGGTATAAAGTAAATAAAGATACACATACTGGAAGAAGAAATCTCTGTTGGAAATTCTGCCTTTCTGTGTTCAGTAAAGCTCTATTCTGCATCTGCCAATTTTCAAAGTTTCTGACAGTTTCTGCTGTTGGTCGTTGCCATGTGGTTGTTCTTGTGTTGTGATCTACATAATAAGTTCTTCCACGAGAGTCTGTTCGTCGTTCCCACCTAGAGGAAATCACATGATGTTTTGTTATGTAACTAAACAGTTCTTTATCAACAGACTACAATAGGAAGCAGACAACAGGTATACTAACAAAGCCCTTGTGGGAAAACGATCTTGTTAATGATTGATGCTACTTCAAGCACTGCTAAAATTTTTGACCCTATAACTTCCAAGATCTATTTAGAAATTTACACTTCTAACCACTGTTTTTTTTTAATGAGGGTGTGGGGATTAAATAGCTTGTCTTCAAGATCTGTGATTGGATATTGCACTGTTACTGTTTTAAGAAGAAGTAAGGTAGTCATCTTCTTTTGAGCCTCTAGTCAGTAACAAGTCAATTAATAATTATATTCCTCGATATGAAGTTTAAAATCAGTTGGCCCACAACATGTTACTTTCTTGAAGATACCAGTGAGAGACCCTGATGTAACGTGATATTGAAGTGCTAGGAGAGCACATACCCTGACGGTAGAGGCTGAGGTCTCTCCCAAGCAGTTGTCCTTGTATTGTGATCCACGTAGTATATTCTGCTATGAGGATCAACACGCTGCTCCCATCTGAAACACAGAATGGTATACATTGTCCAAGATACCTCTGTGTTCTTAACCTGTTGTACATTATGTTTTACTAAGTATAAGAAGAAAAAGTACACCTTAAAGTTGACCAATCAAAAGCATCCATTGTCTGTCTTTCAAATTTTTCTTTGTGTTAAATATTTTCAAACTAGTTTAATTTTTGTATTCCTCAATTTCCACATTTTTACAGTTCTAAATCAACCAAAGCAGGAAATAAAGGTGAAATGGTTCTAAAAATCTAAACCCACAATAAGTTTGAAACAACACATTTACACAACTATACAAGTATGTGTAAGTTCCAAGGGTGTAAATTTTTGTGTCTGCAATCATAAACTTACAACTGCTTTCCCCTTTTCCTTCTTAGAAGCTTTTTTTTTCCTGTGGTATTATCCTTTAGAAAAAGAACTTTGTAGAAAAAGACTAGGAGATTGGATAGGGACAACAGGTGAAAAGGGAAACAGGTTTGCTGACCTTGTTATAATCATTGTTTTGTTTTTCTTTATTATTTTCTGTAATGATACTCCTTTGAGTGAAGCTTAGGCAGAACCTGAAAGAATTATTTGCCTCATGGCATTTACCTGCGATTTACAAGTAACATGACCACTGGGTCACCCAACACCATTGAAAATTGATTTTTTAACAGAAAGAAGCTTTCAAAACTACATCTTTTTTCCTTCAAAAAAACTTTTCTTTTTAAGATTGAAGAGTAAAATTCCTGCTGTACAGGTAATTACACTGTGGGGTTAACCTGCCACTGATACAAACAGTACAGTTCTAAGCCCAGAAAGATCTAAAGAAGGATGGTCAGCATCAACTCACCCAGGAGGAAGTGGATCCTCATTTCCCTGTCTCTGTCTTGACTGTACAGCATTGGAATTACTTCCAGCTAAAATAAGAACATAATACTCTTCAGTCGTGTCGACAGAAAGTAAGAAGCCTTCAGAAGGATAAAGAGAAAAAAATTAAGATACTCTTGAAGCGCTTGCATTCACATTGTATTGAATATGGAGAAATGAAACTTACTCCAACACGTCTTTAATTAATCTCTCATTAATTAATAAAATTGTTTCCAAAGAGGATCCATCAAAGTTCATTGTGCAAGACTGTAAACATTTATGACAACTGTTACACCATGATGATTCATTACTCATTAGAACAGATAAAACACAGTGTGCAAAAGTCAGGTACAGTTTTGGTCTTGTTTAACTGTTTCACTTTTATTGCACACCACATATTAAGCCCCCATTTGTCCTAAACTCTTATTATAATTTTTTCTCAGTTCGTGAGTGGGCGGTATTCTACACATCCTGCAATCTGATTGATTCTGAGAGTGGGCAGTATTACCCCCATCCGGCCCACTCACAGCGGGCGGTATCCATTTCGCTTGAGTCACTTTGCAAAACATCTCAAGCTTCGTTGCAGGTTTTCACAAATAAATCTCATTTTGCCAGCTGGGCAGAATGTTTGAGCAAAGACTTCGGTCACGACCTTTTGGCGATAAATAATATTCATACTTTCTTCTCTCTCGCTCTCAAATCACAATGGTTTTTCTGCAAAAATTGATCTCAAAATAAATTTGGTGGTACTAAATTTATTTTTAAAACGGTTGAAACGCGGCCTAAAAACAATCTTTTATTTAATAATCCTTCACAAAAAGTAACTCAGAAAGTTACAACGAGAGGTGGTTGCAATTAACAATTACATTAATCAATGTGAGTCTCATTCATTAATATCTGAATTCTTTAACACAATTTGTTCCTTTGTGAAACGTTGAGTGAAGTTTTGAGTTCTCCTATAAATACACTTTCACCTATTCTTTGCAAATCCCTTGAATTTGGACATTTCTACTGTAAATTTCCCATCAGAAACCAGAGGAATTTGATGGCTAAAAGTGATATTAAATCCCCTTGTGTCTAGCTGGAAAGAGTCTCACTGACTTCAGCTTTTTAGTCAAAGAAAGACAGATTTACACACATCATTGCAGAAAACAAACAAGCAGACTAACAACTCAAAACACATATTTGCATTCACTTACAATTTGACTTTCCGTGACATTTTAAAACAGAACAGAGGTAAACCTTTGAAGATTAATTGTCGTTGGAAATAAACAATACTTTCCATAAGATCTCTGAGTGTTTGTATTTTTTTTTACGAGAAGATCGTTGCATTGTCATTTCACTCGCGTGTGTTTGTCACCCCAGTACTGTTGTTTATTTAGAAGCATACCCTATATTTCTTCTTCACTTGACAGGTGTCACATGGTGACAGTTACTTGTCAAAAAATGTTTCAAAGTTTGCTCAGTAGCCTTTTCAGTTACATTTACAAATTAAAAGTACTTTGGTGAAAGCTTTCTCTTTAATTTGAGTAACATCTGTATTCTGTATCATTCACTCGGTAACAAATTGTTAAGTTTATGGAGGATTTTTCCGTAATTAAACTCATAATTGTAGCCCTACATCATTCGGGTTCTTTTGGCAATCACTTTGTTATGCGTTACAAAAAAATAAAAATGTTATTCCCCAGCATAGGTCGGTCCACATTGGGAAAAACTGAACCCTCTGTCTTGAGTACCGCCCGAGGCCATAGGCCTCGGGCAGTATCCAAGACCTCAGGCTCAGTTTTTCCTAATACGGACCTCCCAGCTGGTGAATAACGTATATTTCTTTCCCTGGTTCTAGAAGGCTGGATAATTACATATCTCCTGTGCACTTCTATGTGATGTAGCCTTACCTTGCAGTGGTGGTGGTGGTGGTGGTGGTGGTCCATGATGAAGTTGGTTTGGAACTGAGGGAGTTGATGCAGAAACACCATTTCTGCTGCTCACTGCAGGGGATGAATTCTGAGAAGTGTTTGCTGTTGTAGTAGTTGCTAATGCTCCTGTACTAACAGGTCTCTGACGTCCTGATGACTGTCGACTATGTCGCCTCTGAACATCTCCATCAGCAGGCCTCCTATAAAACAAAACTTTGCACTCTCAAAAAATGTAGGGTGCAAAATAATTTCCTCTGACATTACAAATTCTGTCGTAATTGTCGTCAATCCTAATTTTCCACATATTTACATGTAAATCAGAAGCTATATATATTTAGTATAATTTCAGAGCTGAACAAAGAGTTTCCAGCAATCTGATTGGTCGAGCGGTTCCTTATATGACGCTATATAAACCGCTC